AAGTAACTAAATGCCTGATTATCAGGTTTAAATATCAGGAGTTTGCTTTTCTCACAAATCAAGAAGTTGCAAAGTGTAGAGAGTTGTAGCCATACAGCCATGTTGGGGTTGGGTCTGCTTCTCCCGGGTTTGTGCCGCAGTTCCTGCACCTGCACCCTGGTGTCCACCATAGTCCGGGATGGCGGTGCCTGTCGCTTTTATCAGGAAAACATTAATTTCAGAAGGTCCCCTACCCCAGCACACCTCACCTCCTTTCCCCTTGAGCGGGAGTGGGGTGTAGGCCCGTGCTCTGGCTGCGTGGGAGGGTGCAAGAAGGCAGACGTGGCTTTTTAGCCTCCACAGTAGCGGCCACGCTCTGCCAGCAAGGGCTCGGGCTGACAGACGACTTTTGGGAAGGCAGTTTACAGTGTCTTTCACATTTATTAAACTGTATGGATTTGAACTCGACACTGGCTTCTTTAGCTGAAGTGCTGGTCAGAAGACTGTGAGAGGTCATCTGTGCGTCTGCTCATAGAACCCCCACAGCTCTGCAGTCCTCCAGCGCTTGCTTAAGCAAACGTACCCTGAAATACACAAGGAAGTGCTTCGCTCATGACTCAGACTTTAATTAGTGGAAAGCATGCTGGGCAGTGAAATACCTTTTTCAAGATGTGGAGAAAGAACACAGGACTTTTAGCCACTAGGAAGGCGTATGGGAAAGAAGCAAGTGGTTGCCTGATGTTAAAGGAAAAATATTGATTGGGGTCATTTTTTGTGGTGGGCGGAGACTGCATTCATAGGGATCTGTACTGACGCTGTTAAGAAGGAAATGGTATAATCGAGAAACTGTCTCTGTTGAGGAGTGAAGTCCGTAAACGTGAGATAGAGTCCCAGCTTGCCCAGGGTTTTGGCAAGGTAGCTAGAATGTTGCACAAGACCCTAATTAGTAGTGATCTTGACTCTAGAAACCTTTCAAATATGAAGCAGAAGAAGAAACTGAATGGTCTATAAAGAGAAAAAAGTCTTTGTGGCCTCACGTGAAAGCTGTGAATAGGGGCTTCGGGTTCCAGTAGTCCGATTTTTCAGCTCCCTAACCTATGCATTTAACTGGCTTTATGATAAAGGGGAAACAAAAGCCCACACACAAAAACAGGTTTAAAAAAAAAACAACGCAGGACCCCACCCCCCTTCTGCAGAAAACAGCACTGTGCTCACCTCTGGTTCCTGTCTTTGTCCAGGGTGTGGTGTATTATTCACTGGACGTTTTTGTAGGTGGGAAGATGAGCCACATGGTCTCCCGCACATATGTCACCTGCAATCATCACGTGTTCTACTGCAAGAATTAAAGTGGCAGTGGGCTCTCAGAAAGTTCCATTAAGCTGACATGAATAGATGTGAAACAGGACAACCTATGTGGTGAATGGCAGAGGGTCTGAAGCATAGTAACACACAGGGAAGGTCCCTTTCGTGAACGCAAGCCTGGGGTGTTCTGTTTGGATAAAATGAGTGACTGTAAGTTATGGATTTGAAGGAAACTGGACTAGGTGAATACATTATTGAACACAATATTGTGGAATCCTGTGTAAACATGACAGTGCTTGAGGTCTCTGTGTGTATCCAGTAGCCAGAGAAGAAGCCAAATACAAGTTAGCGTCAGAGCGGCCTGGGGAAGAAAGGGCCCAGCATCTCTGATGGACCTTGGCTGAGGCCTGGCCAGGCAACTGAAATGTGGAGGTGGGGCAGTAGGACCTCTGCAGAGACTTTCTTTACTCTCAGGTAAAGACGTGTTGTGGATCTTCCCCCTTTACTGGACAAAAGTAAGATCTTTGAAATTCTGATGTGTGAGGGAAGCCCACGTCTACCAAGTAGTTTTCCTCTTTGCGGAAGAGAAATGGGTTCAACTTTGTTCTTCTTCTTCTTTTTTTTTTTTTTTTTTAATGCTTTGCCTTCCAGTTATGCTTAAGCTGTTTTCATAAGCTCAGTTGGGAGAGGACCAGAAACTTGGACATCATGAATTAGGTTTCCATTCCAACGTAGCCACCTCTTTGACCCCCATCCAGACTTACCAGTAGGAAACTAAATCTGATTAGGGAGTTAGGGAGGCACAGAGCTCAAATATGTGACCCCCATGGTTAATGGCTTTACCAAAGGAAGCAGCCTTCCCCGTAAGGATTACGCTCCAGCGAGGGAGACGTGTGCCCGGAACTGCCCAGCCACACTCCTCTGTGGTCCCGGTGGGTGTTCTCATGTTGGTGTCTGCCTGTGGTTTTATAGATGTAAGTCTTGAGGTGCAAACTGGGTGAGGAGAACATTGCATAGATGGCACGCCTCCTGAAGATGTCTCAGCCATTCATCTCATAGTCTCATGTCGCAATTAGAATCTCAGTTTGCAGACACGGAGACAGGACCACAAGACCAGCAGTCTTACTGGTAGATGGTGTTTAGGGGCTCCAGCCTTCACTTCTTTTGGTCATGTGGCATATCCACTGAATTGTCCCTTCACACTGAGAAGCTTTCATAGCAAATGTTATTAGACTTAACAGTTTTGTAGAACAAAGAAAGTGACTTGATTTTGCTACACCTTAGTGCCCTAAGACGCTATTTAAAAAAAATGCTCTAGGGGGTGCCTGGGTGGCTCAGTCAGTTAAGCGTCCTACTCTCGACTTCGGCTGAGGTCATGTTCTTGCGATTCATTAGATCGAGCCCTGTGTCAGGCTCTGTGCTAGGCCTGGAGGCTGCTGGCATTCTCTCTCTCCCTGTCTCTTTGCCCTTTACCCTGCTCGCTCATGCTCTATCTCAAATAAAAAAATACATTAAAAATTAAACAGATGATCTCGGGTGTGAGGGTGATCCGGCTGCGACATCTGTCACCCCACTGATCCCCAGGGTTGGCCTGGCTGGCTCGGCGGGTGTGCGCTTCCTCCCTGTCCCACGTGCATTTCTCCCGGAGATGCACGCTGCGTTGTCAAAGAGGGTGACTGTTCCCGATAGAGGAGGCTGTTGTTTGGTCAGGGGCATACCTGTAGCTGTGCTCTCCTGCTGGGACCCCATATTTTAAGAGAATCCTAGCAAGTTTCCTGTCTGGCAGGTCAGTCACCCAATTTTATTTTTTAATTTTTTTTAATGTTTTATTTTATATTTGAGAGAGAGAAGCAGAGAGAGGGAGCAGGGGAGGTGCAGAGAGAGAGACAGAATCAGAAGCAGGCTCCAGGCTTTCAGTGCAGAGCCCAATGCGGGGCTCGAACCCGTGAGCAGTGAGATTGTGACCTGAGCTGCAGTTGGACGCCCAAGCGACTGAGCCATGCAGGCGCAGCCACTTTTTTTTTTTAATTTTTTTTTATGTTTTCGTCACCCAATTTTAAATAGTCACCCTCTGCATTCCCTGGGAAGTAGAAAGATGCCAAGGAATTAGAATAAAAGAGGTGAAACCCAGGGAAATGTGTCCATGACTATTTGGCTTAATTGAATTAGCGTCTTTAATTAAGGGCCTTCTGCTGCCTGCCTTTGACACTGAACTGTGATGGATGCTGATAGGCTCTCCCTAGGACGTCTGGCAGTGATTTCTCTGCTGTTGATGATTCCTGGGGCGGTGGGAGTGGCCGTGGAGAAAATTGAGGAGAGGCTGGAATGGTAGTCCTCAGGACTGCAGCCAAGACTCTTTCCTTCTTGTTTACGTGCAAAGTGGAAAAGACCTGAGTGAGTCTGCCTCTTTCCTCAGCCTTCCCTCAGGCTCAGTGGGCACAGCTGGGGAGCTTGGGTGGCCTTCATTTGGTCTTTTCATTTCTGTGTGTATTTGCTTTGGAAAAGGTAGAAAAATGGGCCTGCTGCTCTTCCTCTGTCTAGGTAAATAATTCCAGATACTTGGGCTTCCGATAGCATCTTAATGTTGGAGGGGAGCGCGAAGGCTGGACTACAGCTCCTGGAGGAGGCGTGTGCCGCCATCTTGAAGCTGAGGCTGAGGCGCACCAGGCCTCTATCCTTACACAGCCCACGGCACCGGGCGGTTGTTACGATCCCTGATTCGGAGGAGGGCTGGGGAATTAAGCAGGAGGCCCAGAGCAGATGCAGGGAAGAGTTGCTCTGGGCTTGCTGTTAGCTGTAGGCCTCGGGGTCCCCTGGAGATGTCATTCCAAATGCAGGTTCCTGGGCCGAGCCCCACTCTGGCCAGAAGGAGAGCTCCAGGGCAGAGTCCGGGAACCGTGTGAGGCTCCCGGTAGTGCCATTTGAGATGGATGTTCCACCATGCCACATTCTTAGACTGTTTCTCAATTACCTTGATTTCAAAACCATGTTGAAAAAATAGCTACATCTCCGTATAAATTGCCATTGATAGAAATAATCTTTTTTTTTTTTTTTTTTTACTCCTCAAGTACATGAGCAACGTGGACTCGTGGTGTAAAGCCTGTGGAGAGGTGGACCTTCCCTCGGAGCTGCATGACCTGGAGGACGCCATTCACCACCATCAGGGGGTATACGAGCACATCACTCTTGCTTATTCTGAGGTGAGCGGGCTCTTCCACTTCCAACTGCAGAGTGACAGTTTCATGTCCCAGCACCAAAAGCTGGGAAAAAACCCCGAAGCTTGGTCGAGCCTAGAAAAAGCTCGTAGGTCTCGTGTTAAACTGCAGTCTCGCCGGGACCTTTGACCTGTGTGTGCTGGGGGGGGGCCCTGTGAAGCAGGGTGGTCGGCAGCGAGCGCACTTCTTGGGCCCGCGGCGTGTGCGGGTCTCCCGGAGGTGCTTGTGTTTCCACGTGCCGGAGAAAGCGTGATTCCAGCTCTCTGGTCTGCACGTACTTAGCAAATAGAGGTTTCCATGTGCTATTAATTTAATTTTCCTGTATGAACCTTCTAGAAAGGAGTGAAACCTGATACCGATGCACGTTCTGGATCAAAAAGCACACCCTGAAGCTACTGGCTGTTTTCGAAATCTAAGCATAGCATTCTCTTTATTATTTTAAGGTCCATTATTTATGTACTATCTCCCCGTCTTTATTTTCTGCCCCCTTCATCTGGGCCAGGTTTTTTTGTGAGGACTTTATGTAATCATTTACTTAATGTTCACAACTCTGGGTCATGCGTCCTTATTGGCCGTGCTGTTACTGACGAGGATGCTGAGGCCCAGAGATCAGGTGACTTGTGCCAGGTCAGCAGCTGTAGGGGGCAGAGCAGCTCCTTGTCGCGGCCACTGCTCTGCTGCCCCTGTGTTGTCTCACGTGGGAGGCGCTGTAAATGTGGAGAGCTTGAGGTGCGGCGCCCTCTTGGGCGAGCCGTGGTCTTCGGGCCTGTCACACCAGTCTGCCTTTCCTACACTGGATGAATTCCTGGAGGGAACTGGGGTTGCGTGCCTGCGTTCAGCAAGCTTTGCCCGTCTTCTTCATCATGAGCATCTACGTCACACGTGCTGAGATGAAGGATCCCCGGGACACTGGAGTCAGCCAGGCTGCAGAGTCCCCGGCGGGATGGGGTGGGGGGGGGGGGCAGGGCACAGGGTGGACACCTCTTCCTGGATCAGAACTCCACCACCTTGTCACAGTCCTAGGGAAGAAAGGGGCCATTCACTTTTCGGCGCGGCACTCCCTGCTTCACCCCGCAGGTGCTACTGTCCTGTCCTTGGGCCGTTCTCCTGAGCCCTTAGTGTCCTTGGGTGCATTGAACAGACGCGCCATGCCTGTGTTACTTACCTCAGGATGTTGTGGAGGTTGAGATCTACACATTTGTTTCTCTACCTTTTTGTCCAACGAGATCCCCCGCCACCTTTCTTTTAGCACTATTTTATTTTGTCCATTGAGTTTTGAAAAAGTCAATTCTGTATTCTTAATTTTGCACCCAGTGCATTTGAGCTAATATGGTTATCTAATTTATTAGCAGCTATATAAATACTAGCAGTAGCCTTTTTAATAGTAAAAGTGAAAATTGAACAAATCTAATTTTTTCATCACACGGGTTCATGAGGATTCTGTGAGTTCCAGAAAACATTAACTTCTTTCTCCCTGGTGTACCGTCTCTAGGCATTGTCTGATTTCCACCTGTAACACAGAAAGTGGGCGGCTCTGTTGCCGCCGTGTGACTGGGCCTTCGCTCATCTGCTTGCTCATGACTTTCTCAGGAGCTGCTTTCTGACTGCTGTGGTAGCTTCCAGAGCCGCGGGGGGCAGGGCGAATAGCTCGCTCACCAGGCGATCGGCTGCAGTGGGACTACAGCCCTTGCCTACACGACTTCCCTCAGAGTCGGCCTGACCTGACTGCTGTCTTGCTCTCGCCTCGCTGGCCGTTCAGCCTGCCTGTTGCCTTGGCACTTCCAGCAAAGTACATAATTCTCTCACCACTTCCATCTATAAAAATTGGGCATTTTGACATGGGGACTTATGTTTGCCTATTGGTGCAGTTTTATTAGGTTTTATGTTGGTACTAAAAGTTTTAAAAAGTTGGATGGCAAGTTTTAAATAGTTAAAAAGATTGAGGGCTTAAACCACAATTTTTAGCATAAAAGCCTGTGTGCAACTACGCTGTAAACTCAAGGAAACAGTAACTTCACAGTGAAATCAACACAAAAGACTTTCAATAGAATAGAATAAACTTTTATTTTTGCCTTCTTAATTAAAGTCTGAAATGGTTTCAGGCTACAGAAAAGTGTTAGAATCCTATAAAGAGCTCCCACATTCCTTTAACCCAGATTTCCTAGTTTTTAACATTTGACCACATTTGCTGTGTAGCCCCCTGCCCCCGCCTCTCTGTGCAGACAGTAAATCAGCTGTGATACAAGACACCGTCCTACCCACAGACCTGTTGGTATTTCCCACGTTCCCACTACCTCTGGTCCAGGACGCTGTGCAGCAACACAAGTTACGTTTAGTGAACACCTCTCATTGGTTTCCATCAGTCTCAGTGGAACTTTCTTTAGTCTTGGTGACAGTGTTAGAGAATGTGGCCCCTTCGTTCTCTAGGATGAGCCTCAACCTCTTGCCCATCCTTCTAGTTTTCCTCCTGTGCTGACAAAAGCCGAGTGTCACGGCAGGGTCACAGGATGCTGACCCCTCCTGCTGTTGGTGATGTTAACCTTGACCACTCGGTGAAGTTGGTGTCTGCAAGGTTTCTCCAGTGAAAAGTCAGGATTAAAAAATACTTTGTTTTTGAGAAGCATATTGTGGGAGACACACATCTGTGTTTCTCATGAGACTTTTCATGGCCTTGTCATCTGCTGGTGACTCTTGCCCCTGTCACCTCCCACTGTGATGGTTGTCTGGTGGCCGGTATTCCTTCTGTATTTATTAGGTGATCTACTGTGAGAAAGAACTTTCTTTCTTCCCTATGTGTCTATTTATTATTCCAGTATGAATTTGTGATATTTTATATTCAGCAGGTTATAATCTGATACTCTATTTTGATGCTTAAATTGTCCACATTTAGCCAGCAGGGGCTCCTTTATATGTGTGATGTTTTTGTTTTTGTTTTAATTTATTTTATTTTATCTTATTTTATTTTATTTATTGTTATTATTTTTTTTTTTTTTTTATGTTATTATCTGAGCACTCCCTTACTTTCTGGTGTAATGTTCCCAGGCTCCTTTTGTACTTTCCCGCCTCATCCCGGGATCCGCCATCCCACTGAGGAGTGCCAGTTACTTGTGTGGTGTGGTATTTAGAAACCAAGATGGGGGCACTCAAGAGTGCTTGCTTGCTTGTGGGGTGTCCGTGCTTCGAGGCCCTCCCTTTGCAGCTGTGGACCCATCCCCCCGTGCTTGCTCCCACGGTCCACACACCCCTCAAACTGTTGGTCTGTTGCCCTGGGCCTGTGTCCGTTTTAAAGGCCCATGTGTTCGTACCGGTGCTTCTCTTTCTAATCCAACCCATCAGGCTTCTTTCTAGCCTGTTCCTTTCTGTGTTTGTAAACTCCTTCTCAGACAAGATACCTGGCTCCTGTTGCCCTCAGATCTATTAACTTTTTGTTCAGTTAGTGTATTTTCTCAGTCTGCTCAGTCTCCCAGCCAGTTTGTCTGGCTTCTCTGTGTGCTTCTCCCCCTCCCACCCAGAAAGCCTGGCAGGGGACCCCTGCATCGGTGTGCCCAGCCTGCACTGCCTCAGACCCTGGGCACCATTTTCTCCATGGCTGGAGGGGAGGGGAGGGGGGGAGGGGAGGAGGGGGGAGGAGAGGTGAGAAGGGGGGAGGGAGGGAGGGGAGGAGAAGGAAGATGGGAAGGGAATGAATGCCTTTTTTTTTTTTTACCATAATTTATGGTCAAATTGGTTTCCATACAACACCCAGTGCTCATCCCAACAAATGCCCTCCTCAGTGCCCATCACCGACTTTCCCCTCCCTTCCACCCCCATCAATCTTCAGTTTGTTCTCAGTATTTAAGAGTCTCTTATGGTTTGCTTCTCTCTCTCTCTTTCTGTAACTTTTTACCCCCTTCCCCTCCCCCATGGTTTTCCGTTAAGTTTCTCAAGATCCACATATGACTGAAACTATGGTATCTGTCTTTCTCTGACTGACTTATTTCACTTAGCATTATTTTGGGAGCAAGCAGAAGCGAGGGAGGGGCAGAGAGAGAGGGAGAGAGAAAACCCCAAGCAGGCTCCGCATTGTCAGTGCACAGCCCGATGCAGGGCTCAGAACCACAGATAATGAGAACATGACCTGAGCTGAAGCCGGTCACTCAACTGACTGAGCTACCTAGGTGCCCCAGGAAGGGATGCTTTTGATTTTTTTTTTTTTTAAGTTTATTTATCTTGAGAGAGAGAGTGGAGGAGGGGGGGGGGGGGGCAGGGCAGAGAGAGAGAGAGAGAGAGGGAGAGAATCCGAAGCAAGCTCCACCCTTTAAGCGCTGGGCCTGATGTGGAGCTCGAACTCATGAACTGTGAGACTATGACCTGAACTGAAACCAAGAGTCGGATGCTTAACCAGCTGAGCCACCCAGGCTCCCCAGAATGCTTTTGATTCTAAAGGGATTCTTCCTTTCCTAAATGAGTGGTTTTCTAACTCAAGTGTGCTGGTTGAAGTACAGCTTCTCATACCCCACCTCTAGAGAGTGTGAATCTCCATCCATATTTAATGGCTTTCCTTACCGATCCGGTGACTCTGATGCAGAGGCTTCACCAACCACACGCCGGGAGCCGGCCCTTGCCCTGTTTAAAGAGTTGCGGGTCCGCCCAGCAGGCACTCCTCCTGGGGATGTAAGTGAACTCCCGCCTTGGTGCCGGGTCCTTGAGGAGTTGGGGACGTGAGAATAGGACTCCTCCTTTGTCTCTTCCTTTCACTTTCCCTCCTCCCTCACATAGTCTTTTTTTCAAACAGTGTCCGCAGCTTTTACTCTCTGATGTCACAAGCTTGCTGCGGGAAATCTTCCCAGCACTTTTTTTTCCAAGACACGAACACCCTGCTTTTCAGTGTGTTAATGAGACCTGTCCCGTGGCATTTCTGTTTGTGATTTCGCAGGAGCAGCGTGCATGTGCCTCATGAACATGCGCTGGTTTCAGCTTGCCGGGTTCGGGGCGAATCTTGTGTG